ATTCATGCCAGAGATCAGTATTGTGGAGGAGGACGTGGCTGACAAACTGGGGGAGAGAGCCTTGGAGCACTGTGGACCCCAGCTGGTCCGACCTTAAATGTTCCAAGTCTGCCCAGCAGGTGGCACCCAAATGTCAATTTATTCAAACCATGCATCTGGCTTGCTCATCATCGTTCTTGTCCTCACAGTGGCTGTTCAGGAAGCTGTCCCCAGAAGTGACAGTTCTTGGAAGATGTTGCTTTCTTGCCGTTCTCAGATCCTCCAAGCGAATGTGGCCTTTGGAGATTTTCCAGGCTCCGAGATTGCACTGCTGTGTACCACCCATGCTAAGAAGGTCACATTTAGGGCTTCACTTGCGCCATCCAGGGCAGGAGGCAGGAAAGAACAGGTGGCGCTATAGGCAGGGCACGCATGTGGGTGCACGCAGAGCATTCACGTCACTGGCCGCAGGCCAACAGCGGGAGTTACAGAATATCTACACGCTAGTTCAACAACATGGTCCTCCCTCTCCTACAGACACAATGACACAACTCAAGACAGCAGGGAACTATTATTGTCACAATATCTGTTTCAAAAACCACTTAGAGTGGTCATAGCGACCAGATAGGCGGGATATAAATTGAATAAATAAATAAAATAAATAAAAACAGTGGTCAGTTGTTTGGTTGTCTCCGGAAAGTCCTTATCACAATCATTATTTAGACATGGTGCTTTGGAGGGCCACAAGGTCCACCATCAACAGTAAATAAAATAAAATAAATAAATAAAAACAGTGATCGATTGTTTGGTTTTCTCCGGAAGGTCCTTATCACAATCATTATTTAGACGTGGTGCTTTGGAGGGCCACAACGTCCACCATCAACAACAACATTTGCAAACTCTGAGCAAGACGTGAATGGATTCGCTCCTTCCCTCTTGCATTCCTTACCAGCTGGTTTGTAGGTAGCAAGAAGAGGACAGAGTATTCCTGAGTCTGGGAGGGCAAAGGGCACCACGCAATTGATCTGTTCAATGGTAAGTCATAAAACCTTCTATTCTTTCTTCTAATGTGTCAGTGTTAGTTACTGAGACTGAAAGTGCCAGTGAATGAGAAAAAGGGGTGGACTAATCAGGGGGTCTTGGAGCTATTCTTCTCTGCAAATCCCTTTACTCCTGAAGCTAGAAACTTTAACCAAAAATTCAGAACTCTGAAACAAAGAACTTCCACTAACTTAGAACTTGGATTTTTTTTTTTACTACAATTCCCAAGATTCCCTAGTCAGCATGGTTCCAAAAATAATCCTGGAACATGTTATTGTTAAAAAGCACATTTCCAAGCTAAATACCAGGAGAGGTAGTGTCATAGGTTCTCCTTTCTGATGGCATTTGAGAAAAAAAAAATACAAGACAGGCATCTGGGAGTCCTGCTGTAGATATTTATTTATTCACTAAAAATATTTTTTGCATACTTTTCAAGGGAGAGCCTTCCCAAGGCAGTTCACAAAGTTAAGACAGTAAAATATAAAATAAAAGCAATTAAAACAGCGTAAAACATTTAAGAGACAAGAGGAAGTGGGCAGGTGGGGGAAATTACAGTGTAAAATCATAGTTTCACCCTGCATGGTAGAATTTGAGCAGAAGGAGATTTTTCCATCCTCATGAGTCTAATTCTATAAATAAGTACGTAAAGGGAAGCTCAGCTAAGTGATCACGGCTAATGTTTTTGCTGTTATGCACTGCCAAGCCACTTCCAACTGATGGGGATATAAAAGGTAAAGGTAAAGGTTCCCCTTGACAATTTTTGTCCAGTCGTGTCCGACTCTAGGGGGCGGTGCTCATCCCCGTTTCCAAGCCATAGAGCCAGCGTTTGTCCGAAGACAATCTTCCGTGGTCACATGGCCAGTGCGACTTAGACACGGAACGCTGTTACCTTCCCACCAAAGTGGTCCCTATTGATCTACTTGCATTTGCATGCTTTCGAACCGCTAGGTTGGCGGGAGCTGGGACAAGCGATGGGCGCTCACTCCGTCGCGTGGATTCGATCTCATGACTGCTTGGTCTTCTGACCCTGCAGCACAGGCTTCTGCGGTTTAGCTCGCAGCGCCACCACGTCCCTCCGCAGCGCCACCACGTCCCTCCGCAACCTTAGTGATCTCTAAAAAGATCCCTTTATTGACTCAACCCATCTCATATTCAGCCTTCCTCTTTTTTCTCCTTTTTTTTTTCATGATTGGCCAAAATCCTGTAGCTTAGGGTAGAACTGCTGGATAGCTCCATGGTTTAGGTATCTGGCTGCAGAGACAGAGGCTGGGAGTTCGATTCATCATCCCCTCCGGCTCTAGAGTTCTAAGATGATGATGATGAGTGAACTGCACTAGATTAGGTCCAGTGAAACTGGCTGGATAGCTCAGTGGTTTTAGCATCTGGCTGCAGAGCCAGCGAACTGGGAGTGTGATCACCGACTGAGCCTCCTGCAATAGCCAGCCTGGGTGACCTTGGTCCAGCTGCACAGTCCCAGGGCACCCCAGAAGAAAGGGAAGGGCGAATCCCTTCTGAGTATTCAGTCCCTGAAAAAGGTCACCATAAGTCATAATTGACTTCAAGGCACATGGTTATTGCTGATTAAGTCCATTGAATCAATGGGAGGTTGGCAAGCCAACTCCTCCATTAGTTCCATTGATTTAAATGGGCCTACTCTAGTTGCTATTACTTTAGCATATTAAGTCAGGGTTAAACCAGGCCCATTGGACTCAATGGAACCTACGGCAGAGTTGACTCAATAAATCTCCATTAATTCAATGGACCTACTCTAGTGTGATTTACTAACCTGAGCAATGGGATTCTGGCCAACATCTTGTCCCATGAGCATTCTCTTCTCACAAGGTGCCCAAAGTATGATAATCTTAGTTTATTCGTGTCTCATTCCAGAGTCAGTTCCGATTTGATCTAGAAGTACTCCTACTTCTCTTTCTGATGATTCATGCTACCTTTAATGTTCTCTTCCAAGACCTTATTTTAAAGGAATCTCTGGGGGTTGTTTTTTAGGAGTCACTGACAAATTTATCCTTTTCCTTCCCCCATCCTTTAAAATTGCTCCCCACATTCTGTTAGTCACCATTAAATCCGATTCCTTCAAAACACAGTGTTGGAGGAGAGCTTTTGTGGACAGCATGAATCACCAGCGAGATAAGAGGTGGCGGGGAGTTCCAGAAATAAAGTCCAATAGATGTGTGGAGGAATAAGAAAGGCAAAAAAGAAGAGGGAGACTTTTGGAAGGTTGCTGGCGAACACCAGGAGGGTTGGCAAGCCTGTGGGCCTGGGTCCCAAGTCCGAATACAAGTAGTTGGTACCGAGTCCCGAGTTCGAATTCCTCTTAAAAACAAGTGTGTGGGCCCCCCCAGGAAAAAGGGAGGGGTGAGTGGGTTCTGAGTCACAAGTTGAGTAACTGAAGTAATTGAAAAGAAAATAATTGAGAAGAAAAAGAAACAAAAATTCACATCAAGTTGCCAGTGCAACTGACGTTCGACTTGACAGCAGGTCCTACAGCTTGAGTTCCCACCCCTGGTGAACAGTTCTATTAAGGCTTAGAGAACTGTTTCCCTACCCTTTACAATTTTAGATTCATAGAGCTGGAAGGGGCCCCATGAGTCATCTAGTCCACCCCTACCAATGTAGGGGAATCCACACGTAAAACATAGAATCATAGAGTAGTGAAGTTGGAAGGGACCCGTCAGGCCATCAAGTTCAACTTCTAGAATCACAGAACAGTGAAGTTGGAAGGGACCCATCAGGCCATCAAGTTCAACTTTCTGCTCGATTGTTGTTCTTTAGTCATCAAGTTGTGTCCGAGTCTTTGTGACCCCATGGACCAGAGCACGCCTGACTTAGTGAAAACTCACTATTCTTGGTGGCGAACATTAGGAAGGATGTCTTAATAATCCTACCTGTTGTTTGTTACTTCATGCCCAGCCAAGAGATCTTGAGACCACCCCAGACTTGCATGAATTTCTATGCCTTTTTGGTTGGCTTCATTTTTGATATTCCATTAACGGGATCCACTGGGAAAGACAATAACGCTAGGAAAAGTGGAAGGCAGCAGGAAAAGAGGAGGGCCAAAATACAAGATGGATTGACTGAATAAAGGAACTCACAGACCTGTTTGTGACAGAACTTTTGAAGGATGATTGCTCAAGGGATTGCCCTAAATCAAAAGCTACTCAGCAGCGCCTAACAATTTTGACAGTTGAGTTGAATTTCCTCTGATGACATGTAAATAACAGTATTACCAGAAAACGGATTAAAAATAATAAAATGCACTAGGTGAACTTTTAAAGATCTAGAATGGAAATTTACGGTTATTTCTTTCGATCCCATCGGACCCCCCCCATCATACACCCTTAGTCAACATAACGCCCTTGAACTTTAAACATACTCAGCCCAGGATATATTGCTGAAAATCATCAGTGCCTTCCATCCGAAGAAGGATCTTCTCCGGAGGAAAGGCTCATGAGAACTCAGCGGGGCCATCCTTCCGAGTAAACCCATGCGCGCACACGGATCGGGGCCCCCCACGATAACCCTTTTGGAAAGCAAGGGCGGGTGATGCGGGGAACTCCACCGCTTTAAAAACAAAAAATTACCCAAATTAGTTCGTTTTTGGAAAGCAAGGGCGGGTGATGCGGGGACTCCGCCGCTTTAAAAACAAAAAATACCCAAATTAGCTCGTTTTGTTGCTGTTGTTGTTTTGTGTGTGTGTGTGTGTTTTTTGCTTTCTTATTTCCTTTGTTTTCCTTTCTTTTTTAAAAAATGGTCTCGTTTTGCGACTCCGGGGCAGGGACGCGGGGGAGACGGTCGTTGAACGAGGCGGCGCGCGGACCCGCAAACCAAGTGGAGAATTTAAAAAAAAAAAACAAAAACCAAAATCCAATCCGAGCGGTGTGCGGGGCATGCGCAGTGCGCGGATGCCATATTGGAAGGAAAGTGGGTGCGGAGTAAGCCTAGCCGCAAAAAAAAATGGTGGGCGGCCGGAGGGGCGGCCGGAGGGGCTGCGCCCGGGTCGCGGGCGGGCAAACTCCGCGCAGGTAAGACCCGCAGCATCCGCACCTGGAGCAGGAGGGAACCCGGGTAGGAGAGAAGTGGCATGATTGTTTTCTGTAAATGCGGGCTGGGTGGCTGCGGGCGAAGAGAGAGAGAGAGAGAGAGAGACCAAGGGTTTTTTTGGGGGGGGTCTCTTCTGAATTTATTTAAATTTTTATTATTTTTTTTGTCGGTGTGGGAGGGAGATGCTCTGCTCGGGGGACAGCGTTTCTGACCGTCCCACCTTTTCTGCTCCCAACCCCGAGCAAGTTCTCGTAAAGTGGCTCGGCGATTTAATGCCGTTGCATGGATTCCCTCTGGCTGGTCGGCGGCGGGGTTTTCCCTCCTTCCGCGGGCGCGCAATTTGCGCAGAACTCCGCGGCTCTCTCTTTAAAACACACACACACACACACACACACACGGACTCCGGTGCCTACCGAGCCTGAAGCCCATCCGCGGCCGTGCTTACTCAGGAGTAAGTTTGCCCTTCGCGGCCCCGTGATCCGCCCTGGGATGACCAGCCTGCGCCTGCTACTCGGAAGTAAGACCTGCGCCGCGGGAAGGAGAAGGGGATTCGCTCTGATGTCAGCCTGCCTGAGAGATCGCTCGGGTTTACACGCTACACAGCCTGCCCGGAGTTGTGATGGTGGGGGTGGGTTAGTCGTTAACTCGTGTCAGACGCTTCCTGACCCAGGAGGAAGTTTGGGGCGCCTAAACCACACGCGCGCGCGCGCGCCTAGCTCGGGATAGGATGGAGCTGCGCTCACGGGTCCAACCCTGCGCGTGTTGGCGCCGTGAGATGGACTTCGGAGTCGCCTGGATCGGATCGGCTGGTCGTCTTTTTTTCCTCCTCTCTGTGCTGTAGCTTTTCAGTTCTTTAAAAAACAAACACGTCTGTACCTGTAGATTGATGTGTCTTCGTTCCCGAGTCAGGTGTACCCATCACACAGAACAATGAGCTTGCGTGTAGGTCCAAGTTGGAAAAGACGGGGTTTTATATATATATA